CAAAAAAAGCAAGCCCGCCACGGGCCTGCCGGGCCCTGCGAGAAAAGCCTTTTTATGATCTGTAACTTTGTTCATAGATAAGATACAGTATTCCAAACAATACCGTTTTGTAGTACTCGTGGAGCTCTATCATATCTGATTTAGTTGGTTTGAAAATATCGATTCTGAAAGAAATTATGGCAAGGCCCGCGAAGGCCCGGCAAAGGCCCGGATTACAAGTATGATTTTTTTTACAAATGAAACAAGAAAACAATTTCTCACTTTTCACAAAGTCTTCTCTTTCCTCTTCTTCCTTTTTCAAATTCTTCAAATGCTGAGTACGTTCGTGACTGAGACCTTCCGAGAGTTTTGAGGAAGCTGTGCTTTTGATCTCCCTGAAATTTGGCTACAGTGTTTTGAACTCAATTAGATTTGAAAGTTACCGAATCTCCTTCTGGGCCAGTTCTTCAGCTTCACTGTCTCTGTTCTCTGCAGCTTCACGGCGGACTTGATCCATTCTTCTGAATTTTTCTGAATTTTTTTCAATTTTTCTTCAAGTTTTCTGAATCTTGAGCGTCAGAGTTAAAAACATAGGAGAACTGTTAGAAATGGTAATAAAAACTGCTTCAAATCGTAACGACGCGAGTAAGAAACTGAACTACATGGGAGTGTCGTAAGCCAAAACACTCATTTTTCAGTTCATATTTGCATTCACTCTCGTTTCAGGATGTTTTTATTCCGATCAGTTTCTTGGTACCACCAGGAACAAGTGATGCACCTCCCAACTTTTGATTAGCAATATTTTTTCACAACAAACCGTTTGTGGCTGTTGTTTGTTTGTTTTTCTCGGAACACTATTCGGGACTGTCGAAAAAACAAGTTACAAGTAATAAGAACAATACTGGGGAATCGTACACCAGGGCCAGTCAGTTGATTTTTGTTTGCAATTGATAACGCATTGATACAAGAGAGTCAATGTGAATTAATTTTATCAATAGAACGCAAAAACAACTTAATAGGCTCGTTGAGAAATGTGTTGTTTTGAAGGAAATGAGGAATAACAACAACTCGAACTTGTTATGCATGTTTCGGACTCCAGGGAATGTTTGAGATACTGTAATCATTTTCGAAACTTCATTTTTAAAATTCCTGAGAATCAGGCCAATTCATAGATGATAGGGGGTGAGTGAGTAAATGATAGGAAACAGTTAAGCTTTTCCCCCCATTTTAAGGGTTTGAGGGTTATAAGAGTTTTAAGGGTTTTAGAGAAAGTTCAAGATTTTAAGAGTTTTAAGGGTTTTAGAGGAAGTTCAAGATTTTAAGAGTTTTAAGGACTTAAAGTAGAGGGGACATGAAACAAAATATTTTTGAATTTTTCTTCATATAGACCTTTCGAGACTTTGAACTTGAAAGCTTCGGCTCAGCTACGCGGACGTATGCCATAGAAACTTCTGAAGGTTCATCCAGCAAAACCTGCATTAGAAGGTCCGGTCCTTCTAAGAAACCTCTGAAATGATCTTCATTTTTGGAATATTTTGCGTATGTTTATCTAATTGTGTACAAAAGGAATAAGTGTAAATGATAAAGTTTCTGAGAGCCCTTCTTTTTTGAGTTTCCATTTGTAGCAGTTCTCATTATCACAATGGTATTGATCCGTTGTCTCCATAGTGTCTTCATCTTCTTGAATTTTTAAATATTGTTTCTCATTCCTCTCAATCAGTAACATAACATATTTATTTACAACATTACGAGTATTATTAAAAATCAAGTATTCGCATATAAACTTCAAAAAATTTATACACTTTAGTTCTCAGTGAGAGCAGCAATAATTTTCTGCTTTTCAGATCCATAGGCTGGTGGTCCTTCGAGAGCCTGATGTCTTGAAGATTGGGCTTGCTTCATTTGAATAGCCAGAGTCTCTTGAAGATGGTCACGGCCGATGACGTTGAACTGAAAAACGGAATTATTAGAGCAATGACTTAAAAGTTAAATCGGTACTTGTTGCATCAAAACTCCTACAGCCTTCATGAGCTCTGAAATGTTGGAAAGTGGCTCGGCAATTCCACCATTATTGGCTTCTCCTTGATCATCGTATTCATCAGCGGCAGCTTTGATGCCGTTGATATTCGTCATCAGCTGCCTGAGGAGTTCGATGAGTTCCGCAATATGTTGCTGGAAATCGTTTTCGGCCGTTGATCCCTCGGCGCTGAAAACTGCCGCTTGATCTCTGAAGACTCGAAGTGCCGAGGTCAAATCATCCATATCGCAGTAGTCAATATTCTTTCCTCTCCTCATACGATCATGCATTTTGAGCAACTTAAAGTAGTTGGTCATTCAGAATCATTCTTAAGATTTGACTTACTTGTGGCTCAATGCTATCATACTCATTGCTGAATCCTCTATGTCTGTTTCTGAGAGTTACCGTGTGTTGTTTGAATCGCTCGAAGCCGTCTTCAATTGCCAGACTTCTGGAGAGCGCCTCTGAGTTTGCGACTGAAAATAGTTTGTTTTCTTTACGTTCCTACAACTATAACTTACTTCCATTCAAAATCACCCTTTCCTTCTTCAACAATTGCTGCTTCTGCTCCTCGTTTCTCTTCTCATCCAATTCCTGAAGACGTTCTTCTCCCTTGATTCTCGTCTCGTGCAACTTCTGATTCATTTCCAGAATTTGGGCATTCATCTCTTTCTGCTCCTTCTTTCGGTCATCTCTCAAACGATTCAAACACTCTTGGCGGAGTTTCTCTCCATTTTTCATGATATTGGAGGAGTCGTTCAGTTGAGCACGACGAAGTTCTGCCTGATTCTCCAGCTCTTTCTGCTGCTTTTCAAGTTGTACCTTCCTTCTCTGAGCTTCTTCTCTTCCCTCTTGCTGACGATTTTGAACTTGCTCCTTGACATTCGCTTCAATCTGTTTTTCAAAATCGGCGAGCTCTTGGGCTTGTCTAAAAAGGGGTTTTTGAACCGATCTGAAAATTCTTCAACACTCACTGTTTTCTAATCTCAATCAGTTCATCCTTCTTCTCTTCAGCCAGCTTCTTGGACTTCAATCTCTCTTGCTCCAACTCTTTTTCCTGTTCTTCTCTCAAAGCTGAATAGCTTTTTTCGTGCTTCTAAAAATTGAACAATTCGTATGATAAGATAATAACTTACAGTATTACCTGTTGAACACTCGCCCTGGCTGCATTCACTCTTCCCTCGCGATCAGCTTCACGTTGTCCGTACTTGTCGTTTGAAGACATTATTTGAAAACCTATAATTTGGATTAAAAAGCAATATAAAAACATGAATAAAAGTGGAGATATGAGATTGGTTAAAACCAATAGGTAGAAATAAAATAGAAACAAAATATACATAATTATTGTTATTGTTTACAGAAGAGAAGAAATCAGGAATAATACAGAAGAGAAGAAATCAGGAATAAAATCAGGAATAATTAGTTTTCAATAGCCTGAATCTCAAGATTTGGCATAGTTCCTTCCTGTCGCTGTTGGATTTGAGCTTGAATAGCGCGCCGGTTCTCGGGAACCAATTCCATTTCGTTGATCTAAAAATGTATGGTTCGTTCAAACTTATCTTTACTGTAAACATACCGAGTTGAACAAATTGGTTTTCAATGTTGCAAATTCTTTTGCTTTTTCTGAATCGATCATAACGCCATCCATTTCCAAAATAAGTTTCAGATAGGCAATCACTTGGCCAAATGACGAAATCTGAGTTTTGATAGCTCGGATCACGTCGTCCATTTCAACATCCTTCAATTCCAATGAAGCCAAATTTTGCTCAACTTCGCTCAGTTTCGTTGAAATCGAGCTCAGGATTTCTGAGAATCGTCCAAGGTGACCTCTGGTTGTACTCTTCCTATTCTGATTGATCTTCTGGTAGATGTCTGGCTCAGCGTTGAGCTGAAATGTTATTTTTTTAATAGTCTGGTTTTGTTCCTGCAAACTTACAACTCCAGAAATTCTCGTGAACCATCTGTCAAGCTCTTCCAGGAGATTCTTCACCTCCATGATTTTGGCATTAATGCGTCCGCGATTCTTTCTGTCATCTGCGCTCTGTTGAATCGCCAAATTGAACATCCCGACTTTTTGTTGCTCTTTCAAATCGCTGCTGATTTCAGCAAGCGTCTGAAAGTGAAATATTCTTCATATCAAGAATTTTAACAATATCCTACCAAAGTTGCATTCTCTTTTCTCTGGGCTCTCTCTGCAGATGACACTGCTTCCTCTTCTTTCTGGATGGCTGCATGTTGCTTCATAAGTTCCTCAGAACGTTTCTCGGAAAGAAACCTGAAAATGAGAATTTGAGAACATTCTGATACATTTTCAATCTTATGATTATCCCAAAACTCACTCGTCCTTATCTTTCTGAGCATCTACTTCATCGAAGCATCTTCTAGTCACATCCACCTCAATCATTGCATTCTGAGCATTGGCTTCCACGATTTCCTTTTCGATTTTTTTGTATTCCTGAAATCTTCAAATAACAGAAGTCATGATATCAATTACAGGGACCATTCTGATGAAGATCCAAAATATGAACCATGAAATTGAATTCCAGAACTTTGTCCATTTTATCATTATTACGTTTTCTTCCTCATACAACACAAAAAAGAAGAATTAGAGAAAATTTCATAATTCTTTCTTGCTAATCGTTAGTTTTTGTTAATTCTTGTAAACAAGTATGATGAGAAAGATAAGAATGAATACACACTACACTCTTTTTGTGGAATAAGATCAGAGATTGATATAACAGTCACCTCATTCATTTGTAGACTGGCATCCATCAGTTTATTCAGAGCCGTCTGGGTTACGACATCACACTTGCTGCCTGCATCATTGACTCGCTCATCTGCATGAGCCAACTTTTGAGCTAGTTTCTCTTTATGCTTCTTTGCTTCGTCCATTTTCATTTGTTGGAATTCTAAAAACAATTTCAATGTTCTTTTCTAAATTCCAAAGAAAAAAAAGATTTCTCACTTTCCAGAAAATCCTCTCTTTGCTCTTCTTCCTTTTTCAAATTCTTCAAATGCTGAGTACGTTCGTGACTGAGACCTTCCGAGAGTTTTGAGGAAGCTGTGCTTTTGATCTCCCTGAAATTTGGCTACAGTGTTTTGAACTCAATTAGATTTGAAAGTTACCGAATCTCCTTCTGGGCCAGTTCTTCTGCTTCTCTGTCTCTGTTCTCTGCAGCTTCACGGCGGACTTGATCCATTCTTCTGAAGCTTTTTTGTAAATTGAAATTAGGTTCAAAAAACTAGAGAAAAATAAAACGCAAGCAAGAGAAAAGTGAACATTGAAATGGAGTAGATGATAGGAACAAGTGAGAGACTCCTCCCTCTTTTTTAAGGGTTAGCAATACATTTGGGTGGAGTTGTAAACACGATGTAGTGTTTTATGATTAGCAATCTATTAAATAAGGATCAGCAATGATTTCGAAAGTTGTAGAGACTAAAAAATTGAATATTGGAATACAGGAAATGGAAAATTTTCAGACTGAAAATCAACTTTTTAATGAGTTTGGAATCGAAATTCTGGAAGTACCTAAATGACCGTATCTGACCAAAAATGTAAAGCATTTCCAGAGGTGTGTAGAAAAATTTTAGCCCGGAACTGCATTTTGTGATCCATTTCAATTGAAAATACCGTAAAAGCTGTATCAGAAGGGTCCCTTCAAGAGAAGGGCCCTCTCCAAAATGTTCATAGGTTCTCAAGAGTTTTGATAGATGAAAAATTTCCGGAGAAATAACCGAAAAAAAAGAGTCCCTCTAATAGAAAAGCCCTCCGGAGGTCCCTTGAAAAAATATGAACCTTTTAAAACGTTCTAAATTCTTAAAAACGCGTTGAAATGAGTGAAACGGACACATTATAAACACATCAAGTCTCCGCCCTATGGTTTAGAATTAGCAAGAAAATTGAACATAGCAAGAGTATGAGGAAAAATGTATCGGGTGTGAATTTCATCACATTTTTACTATTAGCAAGATGTAAGAATGTTGAATGGAGGATTCTTTTTATATGATAAACTATCATTTTTAAACATAGCAAGACACTCAAACAAACAATGTTGTTTGTTTGAATTTGGCTGAGGAATCGGATCTGCACAAAATTTATGTGATTACAAATGATGAGAATAAAACTAAGGAATTGAATTGAACTATTCGAACTGACTATCAGAAAATCGAAAAGCATTGTCATTTGGTTGATGTTTGTTTTCTACTGATAACGGAGTTGGTGCAAAAGTAAATGTCAAATACTCATCGGGGAAAACTCGAAAACAATTTCATGAGCTCGTTATGAAATGTGTTGTTTTTGAAGAAAATGAGGAATAATTTGAACTTGATATTTAGGATTCGAAGCATTGGATACTAAGATAATTTTTGAGACATTATTTGGATAATGAATTCAGTGAACTCAAAATGAGAACGAGCAACAAAAATGTTTCCATATTGAAATCGCATGGGACCATTGAAATCCTATAAAACCAATAAAATTTCATGGGACCACTAAATTCAGATAGAGCTGTACTACATATGTATGTATTAGATTCATGTATGTTCCTTTTCAAATCTTCCTAACCCCAAAAATAGAGATATACCGTAGAACTGTATTAGAATGGCCGGTGCTTCTATTGTTCCAAGGTACCTCCGGAGGTTTCTTCTATTACGGGGCTCTTCAATTAGAGGGGGCCCATCTATTTTTCCGGCAAGTTTTTTTTTCCAAAATTTCGCATCAAAAAATTCGACAAAGTTTCGTTGAAAATTCATGAAAATCTGTCAATTTCACCAAAGTTTGCAAGATTTCCTTTTTCACAGAGGGCGCTTCTATTAGGTGGGCCTTTCTATTACAGGGGGTCTTCTATTTTCCCAAGCCCCTCTTGGAGGGCCCTTCTATTAGAGAGGCCCTTCTGATGCAGGTTTTACGGTACTCTTTTTGGTAGCCATTTGACGATGTATCGGTTTAGAGTTTTCTGATCATAAGTAGCAAATTATTTATTTTAGAAAATGAGAATAATGAAAAAATGAATATTCTCTACAAAAATCAATCATTCCGATTCTTGTTCCGGAGGGCTTTGATCCTTTTCCTCTTTCTCAGCAGCTTCTTGTCTTGCGGTCATCTTTTTTTCCATCTGAATAGCAAGAGCCTCCTGAAGATGATTTTTGCCGATGACGTTGAACTGAAACACAACTGTTAAAAATATTGTTTCAAATCAGGTCCAAACCTTTTGCATCAAAATGCTTAACTCTTGACGATTTTCAAAGATTCTTGTTAAATTTTCATCGATATTCACATTATCACTACATTCCTCATGGTCATAGCCCTCAGTAGTAGCTTTGATTATGTTAATATCCTTGAAGATTTCCCGAACGAGTTCTGAAGCTTGGCTTATGAGACCTTGATAATATGATTCATCTTCTGATCCAGACACACTGATCTCAACAGTTTGATTTCTAAAGTTCCGAAGCGCAGAAATGCACTTCTCCAGATCAAATGGTTTGATTGGTGTCGCCTTCTTCATGCAATTATTTGTACGAATCAACTGAAAAATCAGTGACTATCAGAAGATTCTGAAATTTTGAAGGTTAACCTGTGGCTCAATATTATCATATTCGTTGTTGAAGGCTCTGTATTGATCTCGCAATAGTGTACACCCTTCTTGGAATTCTTCAAACTTCTCATCAGCATGAAGACTGGCTGCCAATTCGTTGGTGTGCAACACTCAAAACAGGACAGTCTTTGTCATAAAAAACACTCAGAACTTACGCTCATTCCACATCATTTTTCCTTTTCTGAATGCCTGTTTCTCTTGTTCTTTTATATTTTGTTCAAATACTTTATCCTTACGTTCGTCCCCTGTCATATGTGTTTCATGAAAGCGTTTATTTAACTCCAGAATCTCTGCTTGATTATTTTTCTTTTCATTTGATCGATCTTCTCGTAACTGGCTTAAATCTTTTTGGCGGAGGCTTTCTTGAGTTCTCAACATTTCAGAGAATGCTTTTTGCTGTTTTAATAGCAATGCTAATAATGCATCCCGTTCTTCCTTCTTTCTTTCTAGACGATTTTTTTCAAATTGCAGTTCTTGACTTCTTTGTATGGCGAGACTCTCGACTTTGGCTTGGTGTTCTGCTTCGAGTCGAGCAGCCAGAACTTCCAATTCTTTCTCTTGTCTGAAAATTTGTTTTTTTTTCAAGATAATTGAACTGAGTTTTTAAAAAAAGGGGTCATCAGTAGCAGAAGCCTTACCTTTCCCTCTCTTCAAATAGTTCTGCAGCTTTTTCCTTCTCTAAAAGTTCTAGTTCTCGAATCTTGATTTCCAATTCTCTGCTTTGCTCAACCTCCAGTTCTGCATCTTCTCGAATGATTTTTCTGTTTTGAGGTGGTGATGACATAACTCTCAAGAAATCTAAAGGAAAGAAATAGAACTAATCTGAATAACTAAAAATAAGGTAAAAGGTTGATGAACCAGTATATCAAACACAGAAGAATTCGAGAGCTTAGAAACAATTATTCAGAAAAAGAAAATGTAAAGAAGTCAAAATAACAATGAAATTCAAAAGGAACTTCAATGAAATCAGCACTTTATAAATCTGTCGACGAGGTTTTTCTCAATATCTCGTTTTCCATCGTATATCAGTTGGATATTATTGATCTGAAATCGCATCTATTTGAAATGCATCAGTTAACATCACTCACATCTTCGAAAAGGTGATTTTTTAGTATAACAAACTCGTCCCTCCGTTTGGAATCAATAATTTCACCAATCTCGATGGTCAGTTTGATATTGGCTATTATTTCCCCGAATGAAGATATTAGAGATTTTATGTTTTGAATGACACACTGAAGTTTGAGGTCTTATTTTGTAAATGTAAAAACCGTAAAACCTGTAATAGAAGGGCCCCAACACTGTTAAGTTTAAACTACCTTTTCTTGGTTTCTATGCAAGATAACAAAAATGTGTCAACTGATAACTTGCTTGTGATATTATGATAAACCATTTATCAGTTGACCTTTCTTTTGAAGGTTAGGGGGACCTTCTATTACAGGTTTTACGGTAAACAAATTACCTTCAAGTCAACGTCTTGTAACTCCAATCTTCCCAAATTCTGCTCAAGCTCATTGAATTTTGAAAAAATAGAGCTGGTAATTTCCGAAAATCGAATCAACGAATCTTTGGCTTTCATTCGTCTTTTTCTTGTCAATTTTTTGTACAATTCCGGAGGAGCACCAATCTTAAAGCCCAATAAACCATGAAACAAACTTTTCCTTATACATACAAACCACTTCAAGAGTTTCTTGGTACCAGCGACCCAGATCCGTCGATTGTCTCTTAATTTCCATAATTTTCAGATTTACGTGTTTTCTGTTTTTTCTTTCGCTTGATGCATTTTGAATGTTCAAATTGCAGGTTGCCAATTCTGCTTGCTGTTGTGTGCCCTCTTTCATTTCTTCTATGAGCTAAAAGTTTTGATTAATTATACATTTGAATGAAGGAAGTTTACCATTTTGGCATTCGCATTCTTCTCTGCTCGAACATCATCACTTATTCGCTTTTCTTCTTCATGAATAACAGAGAGATTTTCCAAAACTTTTTGGGAGTGAACTTCAGAAAGGCGTCTGTAAAATGTAAGTTTTTGACATGAAGAGGAATCAGGAGTCTCACTCGTTCCGATCTTTTTGAGCTTCCAATTCTTTAAACGTTTTTCTGCTGATTTCAATTTCAGCCCTTGCATAATCTGCCCCGACTTCCACAAGCCTTTCTCTCAGTTGCATGATTTCCTGAAATTTTTTTGAATGAATGAGTTTAGTTTTTTTTCTTTAATTTAATTCTCAATGTGATTGACCGACAGTAAAATATGTTTTTCGCACTATCGATTTTAGATAGCTACTAGAACTAGTTTTCTCACATTTGAAAAACTCACCTTTTCCACTTCCAAAGTATTATCTCGAACACTTTCCAGTTCAGTCATTGCGGAGCTTTCAATTTTGGCAATCGCTGCTTCAGTTGTTATTTCCCACAATTTTGATAGCTCCAACTTTTTCTTTTCGTGTTCTGCCTCGTTTTCCAATTTCATCTTATCCGCCACTTCAATGAATAACATAGGTAAATACTCTAATAGAGCGCCACCCAGACCATTAATTTTAAGCCCACATACCTCACTGTCTGTAAAAGTTATCCGAAATTTGTCCACTGATAAATTTATTATCATAATATTATTAATGTTTTGTCCGTTAACTACTTTTTCATATCTTTTACAGGAACCGAGATATCTGGTCTCAAAATTGAGGGTTTCAGTGGCACTCTATTACAGTATTTTAGCAAACCTTTACCTAGTTAAAAAACGCAACTTACTTCTCAGAAGCACTTCCTTTTTCACTGCAACTTTTGTCAGTTTCATTGAATTCTCAACGTGTCTCTTTTCTGTATCTTCGTCCCACTCCGTGCCGGTGAAGAATCGGTAAACAGTGGAGAACATACTGAATTTGAATGATTTTGGAGTTTTTAATTTCAATAGGTTTTGCAGTTCGCGAAAGAAGAAAACAACTCTCCTCCCACTTTTTTATTGTTAGCAAGAAAACATTTATAACGTAGTATGTTGTTTATAACGACATTTATTAATACTTCAGCAAAATTAAGTATGAGGAAGAAAAATATAATTACATACAAACGAAAATAGAAAACATTTCGAAGTTCATAGAACTGTAATTCTTTAATAAATAGAACTGCGCTCTAATTTTTAACTTTCAGTTAATTTATCTCGGCTCCTGTCAAAGATATAAAAAAGCTGTGCACTGATAAATTGTTTATCATAATATCAACAGTGTTTGTTCAGTTGATACATTTTTGAAATCTTTCATAGGAAATGAGATAATTGAGCTCAAAATCGACAGTGTGGGGGCCCATTTATTACAGGTTTTAAGGTAATTTAGTTTTCGATCTGGAGGATTCCCGCAAAGTGTCGGCTCTCGATAGCTTCAATGACTGAAACCCGATCTTGAGAAATCAGATTCATGCAGTTTATCTGAAAATTATTTTTTTTTTGCCTATATTGGAATTCAAAACTCCACAAACCATTTGATAGACTCTCATCCGGTAGTCCTTGAAATCTTCCATGTGTCTCGAATCGATTTCACCAGCAGAAATGTCCTGTTTCAGTTTGGAAATTACACCACGAAATGACGAGTTCTGTGATTTGATTTGTCTGCAGATTCCCTGAAAATCATCGAGAATTTGGATTGCAATAATTATGAGATTACATCAATCTGCACATCCTTCAGTTCGAAACAAGCCAGTATTTGCTCTAAATCGTTCAATTTAGAACTAATTGAGCTCAACTCTTCAGTGATTCGTGTCAGGTGCTCCTTAGCTTTGTTCTTTCTTGATTGATGGATTTTGTCGTAGAGTTCCTTTTTAGCATCGAGCTGAAAAATGTGGCCTTTTCAAAAACTCCCAAGAAAGTACTCACCACTTCTAAAGCTTTCACACTGTCTTGTACCATTTCCTCACTCAAGTTCTTGAGATCCGTGATCATTCCATTCACTACTCTTCGATTTTTCGCCTCGGCTGCAACTCTCTGAATCGTTAGGCTAACTACTCCGATCTTATATTTCTCCATCAAATCATTTTTAATTTCAGCTATAGCTCTCTCCGATTCTCGAATTTTTTCGGCTCTCATATTTTGAACATATCGTCCTTCTTCATCATAGATTTCCAATTGCAATCTGATCAGTTCTCCAACCCGTCCTTGAGCATATCGTCTGGAAAATACTTTTTGACAGTTTTCCAGGTACGGTAAAAATTAGTTGCTCTCATGGGAGCTCACTCTGTACATGGACTTTGAGATCAATTATCTCGGTTCCTATGAGAAATATCAAAAATCTGTCAACTAATACAATATTTATGACATTATGATAAAAAATTTATCAATCAAAAATTTTAATATTATTCGAAGGAACCTAAATAATTGAACTCAAAGTGGAAGTGAAGGGTGGGCTTCTAATAGAGCAAACATGGTACTTCAACGTACTCATTTGCATTTTCCACAGCTTGCACTTCATTGAAGAGTTGTCTATCCATAGTGCATATATTGCGTCTATTGCAAGACGAACGGTGTGTACAAGGAATCACAAGAGCCAGAATTATAAAAGATCGAAAACGATGGTATTATGTTCAATGAGTTCTTGCTAATCGCAAGTGAGAGAAAATGTAGAGAGTTCATCATTTTCCATCGAAAACAAAACGGGAAAACAATGCCCGAATTTAACACTTAGCAATGTGACGGGTAAGAAGATACTAAGCAAAAATGAAAATCGATCAGGACAAGTGACCAGGGAATAGTTGAGATTTGGGGACTCCCCAAGGCACTGTGAGCTCAATTTTCTCGATTTCTGTAAAAGATCTTAAAAAGTTGTCAACTGATAAATTGCTCATCATAATCTCAGAAGTATTTTGTCAGTTGACAATTTTTTGGCATCTTGCATAGGAACTGTGATAATTGAGCTCAAAGTGCATGTGGGAGTCAACAAGAGCAAATACTGTATCACTCATCAAATCTGAATGAAAACATCGAAATTCAAATTTATGATAAAACCATTTTCCCGTTCTGTTTTAAACGAAAAGATGCGCAAACATTGGAATTGCGATAAGAAATATGAAATGGCAAGAAAAATTCATTTGTCAAACAACAAATTTCGTAACACAGTAGCAAATCATAGTTTAGAGTATTCTTTTTGAAATTTTGAGCAAACGAGTACACATTTTCACTGGTACCAAGCTGAAAATGTTTAAAGAGTTACAGAGATTTTTTGTTGAACTTACCATTTTATAAAGATACGTAAACAAATGATTTAAGCGCTGAGCAGTTCTTTTCAAGCTCATAATCATTTCATTGGTTTTGACATACAATTGAATTCTATCCATTTTATTATTTTGGTCTGAAAAAAGAAGGTTGGAGAGAAATCTAAAAGATATTCAGAAGAAAAAAACAAAATAAAACATATAAGGTGGAGACGTAAACACATTTTCTCTGAGTTTCAATTTTTTTAGAAAACGTTGACTCCGTGGTCTGAAACAGGGAAAAGTGAAGCGATATAAATGGAGAATAAAAAAATTGAGCTAGTTGAAAAAATCAAATAATTGTAAAATGCACCAGTTTATCATCGATTTGTTTAATGATTGAGGAAAACAGAAACTATTAGCAACTATGATTAATGACTCCGATGAAACATTTCCTGAAGAAACGCCAACAATCGGTCTAAAGGTTTCTGCTGCGTGTTTGAGATGTGAGTAACCAAAAAAAAGTGCATCGGGTCAGAAGATCAGGACAGAACAAACTCAAAAAATGGTCAGTTATTTTTTCCGTAACTTATGATAAGTTTTCAACACGCCGACGCTTTGATAAGCGTTGCTTTTGGAGAAAATACTGAAATTCTGTAGTCAGGTAAAAGCTAAATCTCATATTTCCTAAAAAAAATATATCAGTTCAAAAATTATACTTTATTAATTCAGATGTGAATAGTTTCAACAAAAAATGAGCAATGTTCCAAACATGAATTCATTCTTACCCTTCCCCAAAGGTTACCTTCAGGCTTATGTATCTAATTTCCTGTAAAAGATGTCAAAAAGTGATAAACTGACAAAACACTCACGAAATTATGATAAACATTTCATTAGTTAATCACTTTTGGATATCTTTGACAGGAACCGAGATAAATTAGCTCAAAGATAAAAGCTAGGGATAGCGTTCTATTGGAGCGTTTCAGACAAAAAATTTTATTCAAAGAGAAGACAGTACAATTAAAGACAATAATTATTGTAACCCATAGTTTCAAATTTTCATGGATTGGTTTGTTGCAACAAATTGAACAACACTTGTATTTCTGATGAGTGAAGAATCATTCCCCAAACTTTTGGCCAAACGCGCAGCTAGACCTCCAATGACTTTTGCCATGTCTTCCGAACGTTACGGTCAAAGACTAGAAGCATATATGGAAGAAGTAAGGTCATCTGGAAAATATTGTCGCAATTCTGAACTCATACTTCACATACCGAATCAGACAAAACGTACATGGTAGCCATATAGGATTGAAGTTCCATAATCTCTTTTCCAATTGACTGCCAAATGAAGACGAATAAAAATATGGAGGAATTGATTCCAGTGAGTATAGTCAAGTTTCTCATCATTCTTCGAGTTTTCTCGCTCGATGATTTTTTATTGTAACGGGGTTTGATGGAAATTATGGTTAGGATATTAGTCAGCAAAATGACCAAAAAATAAGTGAGTGTCATCCAGAAAAACATTTGGTCCTCAAACCACAATTTTGGGCTTAAATTTAGGTCACAAATTAACGAATCATTTTTAATTAGTTACCCCTTCAGCAGCAACGGACACAAAAACATTGGTTGATTCATTGTAACGAAGTGGAGGATAAACCCAATTACCCAACTAGGCAGTTAGGTTGAAGCAGACAAAAGTGCACACAGTCAAAATGTAAATGTAAATTGGGAGATTATATTTTGTCCAAAACTGTAAAAAATGGTTGTGAGGTTGAGATTCATAAACTTTCTTACAACATTCGCATTGATAAACTCGGATGAGGACAAACGGTGAACCGACATGATAATGACACTCATTGATTGTAGGTTATAGAAAAAGTTGATCCTAAATGAATTCAAATGGAATGCAAAGTAGAAATTTTTATAGACAACAAGCATCATTGGTGCTGTGAAAGTCCATTGGCAGGAGCGAGAAAACCAGCCATTCAGAGAAGCAAAAGACATTGACAATTAGGTCGCATTGAAGGATACTGTAGAATGAGTATTTGAACTCGATTCTGTTCAAATATATCAAGAAGAAGAGTGTTAGGATAATTGATGGAACGCCATAGGTTAGATAAATAACTTCCATATTTCGGGGGGAAACTTGAAGAAATGGAAAGCACCCAGAGGAGACTCTACTTTGATATTAGAAGCGCTCCCACGATAATATTTATGGGAAGTTCTGATAAATAAATTATAAGTGATATCAGAAATACAGAAAATTCAAAACTCTGTTTTGGTCAAAATTTTTTATTCAAAAGTTCCAGTTGAGAATACACGATAATTCCGATTTTGCATCTTGTCAACAGTCAATAACAGTCAACAAAATTTACAACAAAGAAAGGCTGAAAACAAACTTGATACGGTCCGACAAAGTTTCAAGTATCTTACGGATAAGGCCAAAAAATTTCGAATTGATGAGACAAAGTTAAACACTTTTTGTTGTGATAACATTGATGACACTTGTATTCCTGATAAGTAAAGAATCATTTCCCAAACTTTTTGCCAAACACGCTGCTTGACCTCCAATGACTTTTGCCATGGCTTTCCGAACGTTACGGTCAAAGACTAGAAGCATATATGGAAGAAGTAAGGTCATCTGGAAAATATTGTCTCCATTCTGAACTTGTGCTCTTGAAACACCCACCGAATCGGACAAAAGATACATAGTAGCCATATAGGATTGAAGTTCCATAAGTCCTTTTCCAATTGATTGCCAAATGAACACAATGAAAAATATGGAGGAGTTGATGGAAGTGATTATAGTCAAGCTTTTCATCATTCTTCGAGTTTTCTCGCTCGAAGAATTTTTATTGTAACGGGTTTTGATTGAAATGATGGTGAGGATATTGGTGAACAAAATCACCAAAAAATAGGTGAGTGTCATCCAGAAAAATATTTGGGTCCAAACCACACTTTTGGGCTAAAATATGGGTATTAAGTTAGGGAATTACTTTCAATTAACTACCCCTTCAGCAGCAACAGACACAAAAACTTTGGTTGGTTCACTGTAACGAAGTGGGCGAGGAGTCCAGTTGCCCAAGTAGACAGTTAGGTTGAAGCAGACAAAAGTGCTTACAGTAAAAATATATATTGGAAGATAATATTTTGTCCAGAACTGTAAAAAGAAAGTTGAGGTTTATATTCCTTGATTTTCTATAAACTACATCATTCGCATTGATAAACTCGGATGAGGACAAACGGTGAACAGACATGATAATGACACTCATTGATTGTAGGTTATAGAAAAAGTTGATACCAAATGAATTCAAATGGAATGCAAAGTAGAAATTTTCATAGACAACAAGCATCATTGGAGCCGTGTAAGACCATTTGGAGAAACGAGAAAACCAACCATTCAGAAAGCAAAAGACATTGACAATTAGATCGCATTGAAGGATACGGTAGAATGAGTATTTGAACTCGGTTCTGTTCAAAAATATCAAGAAAAAGAGTGTTAGGATAACTGATGGAACGCCATAGGTTAGATAAATAACTTCCATATTTCGGGGGGAAACTTGAAGAAATGGAAGATTCTTAAGTGTAGTACCAAAAGTTTAGAACGAGCCTCTACTTTGAGATTAGAAGCGATCCCACGACAATATTTATGGGAAAGTTGGATAAATAAATGATAAGTGATATCAGAAATACAGAAAATTCTGTTTTGATCAAAAGTACCAGTTGAGAGGATACTTCTAGAAAAAATTCAGATTTTGCATCCTGTCAACCAAATTTACTACAGAGAAAAGCTGAAAACAATCTTGATACAGTCTAACAGCATATCTTGGTTGGAGATTGAAAAACTTCCGTTCCGAAAGTTTAGTACCAAGAGTTTAGAAAGAGACTCTACTTTGAGATTAGAAGCGCTCCCACGACAATATTCATGGGAAACTTTGATTTGAAAAAAATAAGTAGTGATACCTGAAATACAGACTCCTGAGAATGGTCAAAATGGCCAAAAATCAACGGAAAAATTCATATATCTTATTGGCCGGAACTGTATCTTACCAAATCAGGCACCCAATTTAAATGGATAAGACAAAGTAAAAACAATTTTCTTGTTGATTAGTTTGTTCCGATGACATTGATAACACTTGTAGTCCTCAAAAGAGATGAATCGGTTCCCAAGCTTCTTGCCAACCATACAGCTTTACTTCCAATAGCTTTAGCCAATGCCTTCCGAACGTTACTGTCAAAGACTAGAAGCATATATGGAAGAAGTAAGGTCATCTGAAAATATTGTCTCCATTCTGAACTCGTACTTCACTTACCGAATCCGACAAAACATACATGGAAGCCATGTAGGTTTGAAGCTCCATGATACTTTTTCCAATTGATTGCCAGATGAACACAATGAAAAATATGGATGAATTGATGGAAGTAATCAGAGTCAAGTTGATCATCATTCTCCGAGTCTTCTCGCTGGCTGATTTTTTGTTATATCGAGTTTTGATTGAAATTATAGTGAGGATGTTGGTGAACAAAATCACCGAAAAATATGTGAGAGACATCCAGTAAAAGATCTGGGACCATAGTGCGCTTTTGGTCTGCAAAAGGTGGAATGTGCATTTTTCAACTAAAAATGTAACTACTGCTTCTGCGGAAACAGATACAAAAACTTTGGTGAGATCATCATAACGTAATGGCCGAGTCCAGTCACTTAAATAGACAAATAGATTGAAGCAGACAAAGGTGGATACAGTAATGCTGTATATGGGAAGATAACGTCTGGTCCAGAACTGCAAAACTATTGGTACTGTACCTTAATTCACCTCTTAATATCACCTCGTTAGCTTTGATAAACTCAGATGCTGATAGGCGGTGTATAGACATAATAATGACACTTACTGATTGTAAGTTATAGAAAAAGTTGATGCTGAATTGGTTCAAATGAAATGCAAAGTAGAAATTTTCGTAGACAATGAGCATCATTGGAGCAGTGAGCGTCCATTTGCAGAAGCGAGAAAACCAACCATTCAGAGAAGCAAAAGACATTGACAATTAGGTCGCATTGAACGATACGGTAGAATGAGTATTTGAACTCGCTTCTATTTAAGAATATCAAGAAGAACAGTGTCAAAATAATAGATGGAACACCATAGGTTAGATAGAGAACTTCCATGTCTGAAGATAAAAATAAGTTGTTTGATTCTTTACATCAAGAGTTTCTCACAAAAATTTTTATGGGAACTTCCAGTAGTTGAATTAATTGATCTGAGAGTTATATGAAATTTCAATATACGAAAAATTTTGTAGCAGGTCTCGAAGAGCTTGCCAAATGTTTAAAGTTAGGTGTAGATGTAGGTGATTCCCGATTTTCAAAAACCTGCATTCAACGCTCCTGTCAACAACCTTAAAGGCACATGTAGGGAAAGCAAAATGGACATGGTTCGCTTAACGCTCAAGCGCATTCAACTTTGAGCTCAATTATCTCGATTCATGGTAAAGATATCAAAAATTTGTCAATTGATAAATTACTTATCACAATATCACCTATATTTTGCCTATTGACGAATGTTTCATATCTTTCACAGGAACTGAGATAATTCAGCTTAAAGTTGCCGGATTCGGTGGGCTGCTGTGTATCATTGCGTTTAGCGTTTGTTTCGGGGAATTTCTGGAACTTTTAGTATTTTCTATATCAATTACCTTTTTTCAGGTATTCCGCACTTAACATTAATATTCCTGCTAATCACCAGTTTTGTTTTTTATCTGAAAAAAAAAAGATAACGTCAGGAACCACTGGAGGGCAACGAATGGTGGATGGTGGCTGATACCGAAACGTTGTTGATTCCAGGAAACGGATGATGAGCATGTTTACTGACGACAATGCACGGTAGAATGAGTTTTGGACCTGCAAAAAATATTTCTGGTTTGATCTTCTGATCGAGTCGAAGTTTTGAATTCAGATTTTTTGAGTTTGCACCTTTAAATACCGTAAACAGTGATAGAACGCCACTCCTTACTTTTAACTTTGAGCCATCGGTTCCTGTAAGATATATAAAAAAGTTGTCAACTGATAAATTGTTTTTCATAATATCAGCTGCGTTTTTTAGTTCACACATTCTTGATATCTTGCATATAAATTGAAATAATTGAGCTCAAACTTGGGAGCCCTTCTATTACAGGTTTTGCAGTACAAAGACAGCTTTTGAGAGTTATATGAAATTTTTTTTCCTTTTTTTGGTCTCTTCCCTTGTTTTTCCATCCATTGCTCATCAAATATTCTGGTGTGCTCATGATAAATGTATGTACCCAGAAAAATGTTTTAGCATCAAAAACCTGGCCGACCTAAAAATATATAGGCTGAACACTAGCAGGACCTCAGAGGGAGTCTACAAAAATGTCGAACTTTTCCACCAAAACAAAACAAAAATTCTGAAATATGAAAATAAGAGATCGGCTACTCCAGAAAAAAAAAACGAAATTCGATTCATTCTAAATGCGCACAAGCTCATATTTTATGTATCAATTCTGCTTCTAGTAGCGAGCGGCCCTCATACATTTTTTATCGACGGTTGCTCTCTCTATATTTTCCATCCTCTTCCTTCATCTCAATTGCACAGACTAACCCGAAACGGCTTCTAAAAACCCTCCAAAATTAGTTTGTTTTCTTAATACCACTCTGTTTGCCGCGCTTCCGGAGCTTCAAAAACAGCTGGCTGGTGAGCCTTCGGCGCGATCGAACCTATCTATTTTACAATTCGTCGCTCCGCCCCTCGTATTTTTATTTCTCGTCTTCAGAATCTACGGGCAGGCAGAGAAAAATAGTCAACTTCATTTATTTATTTCAACAATGATTTTAGTTTTGTTGCAGTTCTTGCACTATGAAAAACATTCAAATTACTGTAGCCTAATTGTACCGCCCTTTGATCATGATCACATGTTTAAACGAGCCAGCTGTTAGAAGGAAAACAAAACTTTTAGTGATAAGACTATTTGGTTTGATTAGAAGGGATCGAAACTTGGTTGTTCAAGTTTACGAAAGATAAGAGAGAAATTGTGGAGGCTTTGAAAATATTTTTTGTTTTGAATATTGCACTCTTTGCCTGTAGTTCTTCCTTTTCTCACAGTTCTCAAATTATCCCCTGACAATAAACTTTGAGGTTTTATATCTCGTTCCCTGTCAAAGATATGAAAAAATGCTCAACTGATAAATTGTTTCTTATAATATTTTTAACAATTTATCAGTTGACATATTTTCGATATCTTGCATAGGAATCTAGATAATTGAGCTCAAACTTGACATTGTGGGGGTCTTTTTTTGTCAGACCGTCTTCGTTTCCGGTTCGTGATAAAAGTGCCGAAGTTTCGTCATTTTTTGAGAAGCTTATCAAAAAGTTAATCTCATATTTTCTCACCCAACTTTGAAGTTTTTTAATTACTCATACTTTAAAGGTTTCTAAGAAATCAAAAAACAAAAAATATGGGTGTGAGTTGATAACAAAAGCGGAAAACTGGGAGTGCGGAGAATATCTGGATGACTAAAAAAGTGATTTCAAATTTGAAACATAAAAAGTTAAGAAATGTATTGTACCTTGTTCGTCCCGAAACAGCGTTTTAGCATTTCCCAAATACCGTAAAATAAAAGGGCCTCCACACTGTCAAGCTTAGGTCAATTCTCGCAATTCCTATCATAGGTATCAAAAATGTGCCAACTGACAAAACATTTCTGATGACATGATAAACAATTCATCAGTTGACAACTTTTTCATATCTTTTACAGGAAACGAGATAAATTGGCCCAAACTTGATAGTGTGGGGCCCTTCTCTTGTCTCTGTCCCAAGACTTTTAAAGAATTTAAGTTATCAATATTTCATAATACTCGCAGATTGTGCTTCGCACACCCTTTGCCCTTCACGCCTTTAACATCATGAACAGGAAATTCTGTAATAAAATTTGTTTTCCATGACATTTCGTGCCTTTCCCGATTTCCGATAACACATTCGCCATGCATTTCTTCCTTATCTCTAATTCATTTTTCCACCCAACTTCTGTATTCTTGCCACGTTGCAACAAACTGCAACATGTACGTCAACATGGAGAATCTAATCTCTAGCTGTTCAGTCTTTCGTCCTTATTACCCCCATCCAAAATTTTGCTTTCGAAACCCGATAATGCAATCATAGTTGTGCCTGTATTAACAGTTAGAGTCTTTCCAAACTGTCGACTCTTATCTCTTTTATGTTCAGGTTTTTAGAGCATAGTGTACACCACTGATAGCAGCACTGATAGTGTCTTATCATACCCCAAATACCCCAATCCAAATCAGTCAATCAACATCACCAGTCCTTCAAACAACTGTACATTTTACATTCCACACAGTCATACGGTTTTTTATACTTGATTCTATATTTTTTTGTTTCCTTGTAGCCTCGATTTTGGAGTTTCCCAAGGTACTAACCTTGTAGATTTCAGAAGATTCGAATGGATATAGCTACACGAAAGAGGGTGATGTCGATGTCGGCTAGTTTTGAGCCTCATGCGCCACCGCCGAAAATTCAAGCTACTATTCCAGGTAAGTTCAGGGTCCTTTGAATTTATAATCATTTTCATTTCGGATCTTGCAGATCCAACTTCGAATTTCGCAGATATCTTAATTGTTCATGTTCTAAACGCCTTGAATGTAACGGACCCTATCCAACGTCTTCCATTTATTGAGGATCTCATGTCCAGATTGCAATGGTTGAAGGTAAATAAGAACTCAACAACGTCTTTTTTAATCCCGGAAATATTTACCTTATGATTCCAACTCTTCTTATCAGGTTGTTGGAAAAGTCATGACATTCATAAAATATTATCACCAGGTAATACAAAAAAGAAATTTCGCAAAAAAAGTCAGCATTTAGTTCACACTCAAATTTCTTCGTTATGATTTTGCTTGTCATGGAAACTCGTTATCAGTAATCATATCAGAAGGGGCCCGGCACACACACATTTTTGGAAGAAATGGAAAATAATAATGTTGCGTTGTTAGGGTTCTTATCAATGTTGGCAATGTGCCAGATGGTGAAACAAATCAGTCATCAGCAGGGTGATGATATTAGGAGAAAGAGAGTGTAGGAGCAAATGAATTGATTAGAGAATGATATACATTAATCTCGATTACTGTAGAAGATACCAATTGGGAGTCAACTGACAAAATGTTTACTATCATATCAAAAACGTTTCGGCAATTGATCACTTTTTGATATCTGTTCCAGAAACCGAGATACAGTACCGCTCAACAAGATATACAAAAATGTGTGTTTTCAGTAGATGTGGCCATTTTCAGGATTTCCTGGAGTTTGGCTTGCAAATGTCCGATCTCTTTGAAAATTTGGAGAATGTCAGACCTAGAATGAAAACTTTGCATTCTCAGAATTAAAAAAAATCCTATTTTTGCCGTTTTCTAGAAAGCACCCCTTCAACCTGTTTTTTTACTGAAAACGTGCAAAAACAGGTAAAATTACAAGTTTCAAAGTGATCGGAGACTTGACATCCGAGCTCCAGACTCCTGAAAATGATCAAAATGACCGAAAATCAAAACGGATTGCGGTAATCAACTTACTTCATTTTCAGCAATACCATCAAAAGCAAGAGGCACTCATCAAAAAACCGATTCCATCTGAAAACGGCTCACCATCACGTCATCCAGAGCAAAAATCATTGGACCATCAAGATATGAAGAAATGCATTCAGAAGGATCAGGAAATGCTTCAAAGCATGTCTAAACTCATAGGAATTTCTGCACAAACAGTTCCACCAATAGGAATGATGCAGCCGCCACCAGGAATAAAAATTGTTGCTCCAGAAGCACCCAAAATTCCAGAACCCAAGAAGTCGCCATCGCTCCCTCAATCATCTCTACCACCACCACCTCCAGCATTGCCAGCGATTAATAGTATCCCACCTGCTCTACAGAAGTCGATTCTAAAGAAGAAAAAAGACAATTCTTCTCCACCTCCACTACCCTCTCTTCCATTGCCATTTCCATTCAATCCAGTGCCCCAAATGACTCAGAACGCCGCTGAAGAAATGATGCTGAATCTTCAGGAGCAGCAACGGAAGCTTCTTACTTACATTTCAGCAGCACATGGAGGATCAGTAACTGATGAAGTACTTCATGAGTATCTTCGCCATCCATATGTCTTGTTGAGAGAAAATGGGGTAACTAGGAAGCAACAAAATCCATTCTTTCATTTGATGAATCAGAATGGAGCCAACATGAAAATGATCCCTCCTGCACCATCAGTGATTCTGAAGCCAAATGAGAAGTCAACGACACCAATCCCAGCCCCTCCACTGTTGGTACCACAGGTGGAGCTGGCGGCAAAGAAAGAGTCCACCCCACCAACGGAGAAAGTAGGTCAGGTTACTGTATCAATCGATTTAACCTGAAATTTTCAGTCTTCCTCTCCACCTCAACTCCCGCCTCAACTACCACTTCAAATTCCACTAATGCAACAACCCAATTTCGATTCAAGCAAGCCTTTTGAACCGCCAGCCACACGAGTATGTAATCAATGGTCCGTAGTGTCTATGGCCCTTCCATTGACACTAATGTGCAGATGCTATCAGACACCTTGCAGGTGTCAAGGAATGACGGCATGAAAAAAATAATAGTTGATATTCTGTACAGAGATTCCCTTTCCTTTCACTTTGATTTTTGTGATCTCGTTTGTTGTTGGTATTTTGTTGGTACTTTGGTTTCAATGTGATAGACTAATAAGAATTTTTGAAGATGTTCTATATTGGCCAGGTGCTGGCCAGAACTTGTCCACAGTCGGCTTTATAGTGGACCATGGTTAGAATTTGGTCGGAAGTTGAAAGTTGAAATGCTCTGATTGGGGTCTTCGTGGCATCTGCAATTGCGGTTGTCCAGCTTGAGATCCAGTGTCAGGGGTTCTGTTCATAGGAGATAAGAGAGATAACCATCCTTTGCTTCGTTGAGGAGTTTGCAGCAGGGATATGTGGCATAAGTTGTTGGTCTTTGAGGCGTCAGCAGTCGGACCTGGGCAGTGAGTCCAGTGTTAGGTAGACCTTTTGGATTGTTCCATTAAATCAGATGTCTCATCATACTAGCGATTATGCTTCAGAAG